CCCCCCCCCAACCAACCTTCTGAATCAGCCCACACGCATCGCTGCACGTCCATGTCCGTGTCCACATCCCATTGTCCTCGGGCCACAAAGTCCACAGAATCAGAGTCCACATGGAGTCCACACACGCGCTGCCAATTTCCGACCTACAGCAGGAGCCGTCCGACCCTTCCCCACCCCAAGCGATGGTTTGGTGTCCAATGACGATGATGATGATGGTCTTGTCTGCTCGATGTCTGGACGCGGACGTGGACACAGCTCTCGGTGCTACTGCTGCTGTCTCTGGAACCACCGGAAGCGCGAACGCATCCCACGTCGCTTGCCCCACAGCCCCACGTTCGATTTTTATGGCGAGGGGCATGAATTTCAGTTCAGTTCCTCATTCATTGTCCACCTTCCACCCGGCTTCAGCTCTGCTCTTCTTCTGCCTTTGGGCAGAATCCCTCCCCCTCTGAAGGGGTCTGGTCTGGTCGGAGGCACTTGGCACGTTTCCTTTTTAAAATTCACAATTGCCGCCGCCGTAATTGTGGGAGAGTTCGCTATACCATCTTGTCTCTCTCTCTCTCTGTCTGTGTGTCTCTCTCCCATTCAGGCTCAAGAAATCGATCACGTTTTGGTTTCTACACATGTTCCAGTTACGTTACGTAATGGATTGAGTGGGTTGGTATGGGGGGGTGATAACCGGCAGCAAGACGTTTTGGCCAAGAAATACACTTTGCTCCAGTTGAAACCAAAAAGGAAATGGATTTTGGGAAAATCATGAATAAAAGAAGGCAGCTATTAGCAATGGTGGAATTATTATCGATTAAGGATAAAAGCGATAGAGGTAATGCTGTTGATTGGAAGCTATGGCAGTTATACCTAAGTATGTCTTGATTCGATGGATTTTTAAAGAAGTCCTGTTGCAGAACTTACCATATAATAACACATTCCTACTTCAATAATTCAATCATTGTTTGTTCCCAGATCCCATTCTCTACGAACTTATCACTTTTAGTGTTTTGCAGGCAATCTTATGATTATGGGCAGCTCCTTGGCTGGAAATTAAATGGGTGTTGACTCTCCTTCTCCCATTTCCTTCAACTGTGTGGTCCTTTCGTTAATTCTGCGGCGGGGGTAGAGGAGGTGCTCTCCACATAAAAGAGACAGCTTCAGTCTGTGCGAGATTGGAATAACAAAACGCCCCCATCCTGCACATCCTCCTCCTCCTCCTCGTGCTCCCAGGAAATCCTAGAAGACAGAGCTTCTACCTGTCCAGGAGTTCAGTGCAGGATGCGAGAGGAGCGGTGGTGGGGGCCATAGGCTGCTTTGCAGCGTTGTCATTGGCATTTCAGTCACATACACAAACACACATAAAAACCAGGAGAAAAAGAAGTAGAAGCAGGAGAGAGCGAGGCAAACAGCAACACCCACGCACCAGAAGAGAGCAGCGAGTCCGAGTGAGAGCCAGAGCCAGAGCGAGAAAGAGCGAAATTCCCAAATGTGTAAAGAAGTAAACTAATTGCTGCGCGTGACGCCAGCCCCAAAACAAAAGCTTCAAAGGCAGCTCCACTCCACACCAAAACAGAGCCTCCCCTCCCCGCTTCTATGCTCAGCCCCCCTTCCAAGCAGATAACATAAGTATATAAACGCAAGCGAGACGCAATGATGGGGCCTGCCTTTGGCCACTGTATGCGAGAGCGAGATGCTGCCAACCAGTTTACAATGCGGCATGTACGTGCCAGCCAGCTATCTCGCTCTGTCACGCACAGCACATGCAGCGTGGTTAGAGCACAGGGATGCTCTGTCTCGCTTCGACGGCCTCATTTCGTATGCGCACAATGTCGATTCCGATTCGACGGCACGTCACGTCCCGCCCATTTGCACGCACACACACAAACAGTCATGGTTTATGCTGTGCCGCCTGTGTGACAGAGTGCGAGAGCTCGAGTGGGAGAGAGAGAGCGCGCGATGTGGAGCGTGAGGCTGCTTAAAATGCTACTGGTGCCGCCGCGCACACTGTACATGACCGAACGCAGTGTCAGGTGCTCACCCACACACACGCACACAGACAGCACTTCGTGTGGCAGGGCCTCGGCTTCGTGTCGAGTCAAAGATGTCACCCCCAAAATATTGTAAGCGCTCTCTCTCTGTCACTCTGCCGGTGAATTGTGGAGCCGACAGGGCTTCGTGGGCAGCGACGCTGACGGCTGTCTGCTGCTGCTGGGATGTACTGTTGTTTTTTTCTCTCTTCGGATGCGAAACGTGACTCTGGATTATTCTTCTATCCGCCAGCAACAGAAACGGACGCATTGTAACTGTAACTGAAACCGTAGCCGTAACCGTAGCCATAGCCGTAGCCGTAATTCCGTGCGTCGTCATTCAATTGCAGTTTCACGTACGCCCCCACTCTCTCGCTCGCTCTCTCCCTTTCGGTGCGTGTCCAAGTTCTGGGTTGCGCCTGATTCCGTTGCCAATATTCCACATCGGCCGGAGACGGACCAGCGACGTGCCAA